AAGAAAGAAAGAAAGAAAGAAAGAAAGAAAGAAAGAAAGAAAGAAAGGAAAATGGTATGCTTCAGTCTGTATTCAAATACTATCAATTCTTTCTCTGGAGGCAGATAGCATTTTTCATCACAAGTCCTTTGGGATTGTCTTGGACCATTGTATTGCTGAGAATTGCTAGGTCATTCACAGTTCTTCATTGTACAATATTGCTGTTACTAAGGACAATATTCTCCAGGTTCTGCTCACTTTACTCTGTATCAGTTTATATGAGTCTTTCCAGGCTTTTCTAAAATCATCCTGCTCATCATTTCTTACAGCACAATAATATTTTAGTGCAATCATATACCACAACTTGTTCAGCCATTTCCCAATTGATGGGCATCCCTTCAATTTCAAATACTTAGCCACTGCAAAAAGAGCTGCTATAAAAATTTTTGTGTAAGTAAGTTCTTCCGACTTACATGGGTTGATGCAAAGTGAAATGTACTAGGTACAAAGTAACAGCAATATTTTAAGACGATCAGCTGTGAATGACTTAGTTATTCTCAGCAATACAAGATCCATGATACCTTGGGAGGACATAGGATGAAAAATGCTATCCAACCCCAGAGAAAGAATTGATGGTGTCTGAACACAGCTTGAAGCAACTTTTTTTTCACTTTGTTTATTTTTCTTGAGGTTTTTTTTTTGTCTATGTTTTCTTTCACAACATGACTATTATGGATATGTTAAAAAAAAAAAAAAGGTTCTTTCACCTTTAAAAAAAATCTCTTTGGGATATAGACCTAGGAGTGGTATTGCTGGGTCAAAGGTTATGCACAGTTTGATAGCCCTTTAGGAATGGTTCCAAATTGGTCTCCAAAATGGTTGGATCAGTTTATAACTCCACCAACAGTGTACTAGCGCACTGGTTTTCCCACATCCCCTCCTTTTCTGTCATATTGACCAATCTGATAGGTGTGAGGTGGTACCTCAGAGTTGTTTTAATTTGCATTTCTCTAATCACTAGTGATTTGGAGCATTTTTTCATATGACTATAGATAGCTTTGATTTCTTTATGGGTAGGCATTTGTTGAGAATAAGGAAGAGGGAGAAGAAAAAAACCCTAACCTTATCACTAATGATTCTGTGATCCTTTCCTTTTCCCATTCTTCTCATTTCTTTTCCCTTTTTCCTGACCTCTTCTTTTTCCCTTCCTTTTCCTTTCTTCCTTCTTTTTTTTTTCTCCCTTAGTCCCTGCTTTCTTCTTATTCTCACTTCATTTTCCTTTCCCAGATG